TACCCATATCATGCTCTTAAATAAGATTAATGACAATATTAAAGATTAGTAATAAGATTAAATAAACATTAAATCACTAAATGACTCCTCTCCCAGTTCCTTCCTCTCTTTGGGTGATTTTCAGGCAGAGTAGGCACCGAGCTGTAAACAACATTTTTTTCAGCCTCAGCTCACTCCATAAATGGTTATCCTGGCTGCACTGTGGCAGGTTTTATTGTGTAATTAGGATGACAATGTGCTAATGCTCTGCCCTAGACCTTCCAAATTCCTTAGGCAGATTTTACACATCCGAGAAAAAAAAAAAAAAAGAAAAAGAAAAAAATATATATATAAAAAAAACAAGCTGAGGAAGTGCTTTCTGTGCTGGAAGTTTTGACCCATTGTCATGCCTCGGTTTTCAAGGTCGTTCTCTGAACATTGCAGCCTTGGTCAGATGCTACATGAGCATCTCATAAGCCATTTATCTGACCTTCAAAGGCCTTTTCTGTGCGCTTCCCCCAGCACAAGCATCCCCAAGGGATGAGGGCTCTCAATGGGGCAAGACCACCATGCAAACCAGCCCCCGCCACAGCAGCTTTGCATCCCCCAGTGCTCAAAGTGCCTCCAAGACAGAGAAGAGCCAAAGGATGCTGGTGCACGGGGACCTCACCATGGGTTCATGGCCTGGGTCTCTCTTCCACTTCGTGTCCAGATGTTCCACCAGCTGCTGAGGGCTCCTCCACCCACCTGGGGCATAAAACCCAGAGGTAATTTATTTCTGCATCTTCTCCTGGGGCCTTCGCACTCAGGGAAGCGTGTCCATGCTTGGAGGGTGAATGCTTTTAGCTGCACTGATGTGGTTACAGCAGCTCGGTTTCCAGTGCAGACAAGCCCAGATCTGCCCGTCTCGGCCTGGGCTGGATTAGAGCTTCCCTGGGTGCTGCTGGAAAGGTGCAGCTTGAAACAGCAAATTGTAATTACCTTGCCTGAGCAAAAGATGGACTTTGAGTGGTAGAGTGACCACCACAAAATAAAAGAACTAAGAATGAATGAGAAAAAAATCCAATTTTCACTTTGCAAGACTTTTCTCCTATGTCTCATCCTGGTGATGGACCTGCCTGTGCCCACTGTGCTCCTCCAGCACCGTGGCCAAGAGGATCGGTGCCTGCAAAGGCAGAAACCAAGCCCACTGGCAAAGCACGACATCGCATCTCATGAGGCTGTGACTTACCCCCTGATTTAATTCTAACTTTAGGATGGGAGCAGATCTAATAAGAGGCAGCTTATTACCTGTTATTGCTACTTCCTTACGCACCTCAGGCAAGAATCTTTCTGGCAGTTTATTCTGGTGTTTACCCACACGTATGCACGGATCTCACTGCAGCATCCCAACCACCCTCGGTAGGGCAGGTACCAGCCCTGGGGCTGCCTTTCGAGGCCGTGATGCCCGGCGGCACCAAGAGCAACCTCGTGACTTTTTCTGATCCTATAAAAAGAAGTAGGTCTCTGACACGGGAGGGAGGTGCTGAGCCTTGCCAAGGAAAAGTCAGCAGAAAATGACTGCTCAGAGCTGTATCAAAAACCCAAGTGTTTTTCAGGTGAAGCCGGTGAGAGCTGATACTTGGGTTTGAACTGAAAACCACCAGGAAAAATATGCTGTTGAAAAGAAGTTAGAAAAAAAGAAAGTCATAACATTTTATTTGGACAATTATTTCTACTTCATTAAAATACTTCTATGAAAATATGTAGTAAACTCTGCTAAGCTCAAATATTTTTCAGAACTCTTTTGTTTAGTAAAGCTGTTTAATATGTGAGCATAAACACCTTTCCTCTGGAGGCATGGCTGTTTTATGGGTACATTCCATCCTTTTCAGTGTGTTTTTTCCCCAAAAGACAAGTGAGAGGATGTGTGCAGAGCTTTTACTCTGCAGGGGCTAATGGCCCTCATTGGGAAGGGTCCTTCAGCTGCAGCTCTCCTTAAGGCAGGGATGAGTTGGCCAGTGGAAGAAGCCCCAAGCCAGCCAAAAGAGCAACCTTTAGGCGTTAAAACCAGCTGCAGACAAGGACCTAACAAAGACATCAGGCTACTTGGCCAGAGCAGAGACAAATCATGCAGATTTGGCTGGAAAAGGAGCAATAACCCACCAAAAATGGGTCGGTCCAAGGCTTCCCAGCACACAACGGAGCTGGTAGGGTTTCAGGTGCTGTGCATTGAGCCATCACTCTCCAAATCCTGCAACACTGGCCTCTGGGCAGCCAGGTAGCTCATGCGCCCAAGTCTCTAAACTGATGTGTTGAAAATATTCCAAAATTAGCTTTTCCGCAGTCCAGATGGCGGATCGTGAGTGCTTAATGGCACAGCATGAAGGTTTTATTGGCACTCACGAGGGACGAGCAGAGCAGCTTACTTGTGCCTCTTCCATCCGTGAGTAATGCATCTGCCGAAGCCCGTGCCAGGAAACTGCATCCCACCACTTCGTATTTCATGCGCCTGTGTGTGCAGACAATTACTAAATGACAGTAGATATTATTGAAAGAAAATCGAGGCAAGCCACAGCTTATATTGATGTTGTTTTTAGGATTCACTTAACTCCCTGTTTTCTTGCCTCGTGCCAGCTTCTGCTCACCAAGTGCTTCCACTCCCTGTTTGAGTTGTGGCTCTGGTCCTTGGCGTGCTCCCTATTTTTGACCCCCGAGGGACCACGGAGCTTTTAAGATCAGCTGGCTGTAGGGTCCCCAGACTGAAAATCAGCAACCAGAGGGCCCTAAAGATGGGAGCATGGACCCGGAGTCCCGCCTTCAACCAGTGCTCAACCTCCACCAAGCCCAAGGTAAAGCTTCGTGCCATCAACCACGATAATCAAAGCTCCTCCCAAGAAAAAAGCTGCCTCTGAAGACCATTTAAATGCTCTGTGTAACATCAAGATGAACATTCACATCTTTCTTTTATGACATTAAAACCCATTAATAATTAAAGAAGCGAGTGGCAAGCAACCTGGTGCAGAACAAATGAGCGTGGTTTCCTAGAAGTGCCAGTCATGGCTGGGAACTGGGAGAAAGCACAGACCTGGGAGCAAATGCCAGGGCACATAAACGTTAGGCACTGGCATTTTCTGGTTTTGCCTGATTTTGCTGATTTTTTGTCTCTTGTGGTAAAAAAAACAGGTGAACTGTGCGGCACACAAGGGTCATTAGTCAAGCTGTGCCCTCACCTTCCTATCCATCATGTAATGCTTATTATTATCTTTTTTTTTTTTACAATAAAAAATTAAAGTTTGCATCCCCGTTCAGCCACAAATGTCTATTATTTTTTGTTTGTTTCCATTTTTTTCATGGTGATCCTCCTCCTCCCTGCAAGGCCAGGGATGGGACCCTCGTGCTGCAGGGTCCGTGAGTCCCTTCTGCAGGGGGGAGCCTCCAGGAGCCCTACCAGAAACCTTCATTTTCAGTTGCCCTTGCACAGTAGCCATGGAAACGAGGACGACTTTCCCATCCCTTTCTGGGAAGGCTCGGCAGTCGCTGCCACGAGCTCTGTTTGAATAAGATTTGGCAAAATAGCTCAGCAGGGGTGTGAGCTGTCCCGTGCTGGTAGCCACAGGCTAGGAGATGCTGGGGGAAGGCAACCAGGTGAAGGACTCACGTGGCTTCAGGAGCAGGGTTGGGGCCAGGCACTGCCTACATCGCTGGAAGGTGTCCTTGCACACAAATGCACAGTGCTGGGGGATGAAAGTGAACCCCTTGGGATGGAAAATTCCTGGGAGTTTTGAAATCCTAGGGGAAAAGATGTTTTTCTCACCAAAATTTGGGAAAATTATATAATCTCATTACTTATACTGCTTAAATGATTTTTTTTTCCTTTTTCCTAATTCTTTAAACATGAAAGCACTCTGTAAAGCTGGCCCAGTGAAGGAGCTGCTGGATATGTGCATGAAGCAGAGCACCAACCCTGTCCTTGCCAGCCAGGAGAGAGGTCAGCACCGCGTGCTGATATCCTGTTGAGTTTGGAAGAGCTGAGCATAGCAGAAGCAATGCCTTGTTAAACACCTCTCTGTCCTTGCTTCATCATTCACTCTAAGCAAAATCAATTTACACAAAGCTTTCTTCTGCATCGCTTCTCCAAGTACCCAGTATTCTGTATCAGAAAAAAAAAAACAAAAACAAAAGAAATAATCTTTTATTTATTTACTTTATTTTATACCAAGCTCTGCATGTTCCAAGCTCAGCATGGGCACGGGTTGTGAAACATCTCTGATGGCACTTTTCCAGGTGGGGTTTTCCTCTTCTGAAGCATGATGTGGATGAACCCCACTGCCCCAAGACCATGCTCTCAGCAAAGGAGAGGCAGGCTGCCCTGATGTCCCGTGCTGCTTCTGGCCAACACGTGCATGGCTGGCACACTGCAAAGCCAGCTGTAGTTTTGTCAGAGCTTTAAGGAGAGCAATCTCCATCCCTCAGTCTGTGCATCCCCTGGCAGCCTGGAGCAACACAGCCAAGGCAGAGATGGGAGACAGCACTACAGACCCCCAAATCCTCGCTTCTCTCCAGCCTCCCCATCTCCTGCAGGCTTCTGTGAGCACCACAGTCCTCTCGCTGCCTCTGTCGCGGGGCTCAGCAGACAGGCAGCAGCACGAGGGACCAGACTCAGTGTTTGTTTGGTGGCGGTGCAGAGCCCATGGAAACATGCAGGGTTTTTTTTTCCTCTCCCTGCTTGAAGCCCTACCTGCTGGTGAGTCACCACGGGGCTGGCTGTGTGCTGTCTCCTGCATCACTACTTGGCAAAGCAGCCCAGCGTGCTATCTCCTGTAATAGGGTGTGTGATTCACGATGTGAGCAAGGACTAAATGCAGCAGGAATGCACTCGAGGATCTCTGGCCTCGCTTACTCCACCCGCCGCAGCACCAGCCAAGAGGGCTGGCACTCCACGGGCGCTCTCGCCCAGCCGTGCTGTGATGCTCTGGGATCAAAGGTGCTCTGTCTGCCTCTGATAAGTGCCAACGTAAATGCAAAGCAGCCTTTGTGTTCTGCGCTTGTCTCCCGAGGAGCAGCAGGAAGGCAGCGTGTGAGCAGAAAGCTTTAGCAGGGCGTGCTTTGGTTTTCCACGGCCGGGACAATATTCCCTGTGAGAGCATCCCTCAGCACCCCTCAGCATCCCTCAGCAGGTGGGAGGCTGAAAACCAGGAATGGGGAAGGGGAAAGGAAACCGTGTTGGCTTCTAGCAAATCTCATGTCTGGAAAGGCAAGGAAGGGTTTTCCAGCAGGGCTGAGCTGGGTTTGCTGGGTCCCACATTGCCTCCGGGGTGAGGAATGAGCTGAGCAAGAAGAGTTTGAGGATGTTGTCCAGATGAGGCCCTGTGCATCGGGGTCAGGCTGGGTGTTAGGTGAAGGATCTGCACCCAGAGGGTGGTCGGGCACTGGGACAGCCCCCCCAGGGCCGTGGGCACGGCACTGAACCTGCCAGAATTTTTTAACCTTCCCCTTCCTCACACAAGGAGCTTTCTGCCCTTGGGCACTGAGGCGATTAGGCAGGTAAAGCTTGAAAAAATCAATAAATTGTGCTGAGGAGACCCAGGTGCTAGTGGGGCTCCTGCCACAGAGGCCCTGGGGACATCTCCGGGTGTCCTTGGGTGCTGGTGCCTGCATGGGCTGGGGCTGGCCCTGCACCTCCCCTGCAGCCCCCTGGGGTCTGGAGTCACTGCAAAACAAATGGAGAAACATTCTGCCTCCCATGTCGTCATCCCAGTTTGCTAATTGGGGAAATAATTGTGTTTAAAAAGCCCTGTGCCAGCGAAGGCATTCTGAGGAGGCTATGGAGGGAGGCGGCCATTTTGTCCCATACAAAGCAAGCTCACGCCATGGCTTCAGCCAATTTTGCGAAGTTTTGGCCCAGTTGTGCTCCCCTGCTTGGGGCTTTTGGTGTTGGGTTGGAGGGTCTGGTCTGGCTTTTGGTTGATGTGGTGAGCTTTTAAGTATGTAAAACACAAGATTTATATTTCAGTGTGCAGGATACTGAGAAGACAATCCATCTCACAATGAAATCCCCATTGCAGATCTTGCCCAGGCTACAGAGACAAGCAACGTGGAAGGCTTTCCTCATCCTGCCAGGGCCCCTGAGCAGCTCTGAGTGCAGTTTTCCTCCCTCTAAGGAGCAGGCAACAACCCTGATTTGCAATGATGCTCGAGCTCTGAAGATGAAAAGTGCTGTTTTGCCTCTGTTTTGACTTTTTGTTGTATTCGCTTGCAAGACTCCTGTAATTACTTTGCTTTGTTTGTTTGTTTTATAGAGCAAAGGAACAACACTCCAGCCTAAATTTAGTGCCCCATGTTTGTGAGCAATCTGCAATTAGCAAGCAATGCATCCACGTGCACAAGGGCAGCGGAGAAAGGGGGCTGTGCTGGGTAGGTGGCACTTTTTTCTCCTAAACAAACACCAGATAGGAAAATACCAAAACACCGCCAAGCCGGCATGTTTCTAACTACTCCTTTCCTGCTGTGAGCATGGCTCATGATGCTGGGGATACCGATGCAGGCTGTCTCTGAAGCGCTTCCCAGGTTTCAGCAAGCTGCTTCCACTCCTCTTACAGTACTCCCAGTCCCTCGTTAAGCTGATGGTTGCAAAACCCATTATCCCTGCTCAGCCCAATTTGTTCACGTCCTACACCAAATTTTCCCCCATTTCCTACAGGATGGATGCGCCTCCATCCCTCCACCTTCCCTTTCCTCTGCCTTCTTCTAGGATGTGCTGGGGCTGAGTCCAAGCCTCCCTCTGCAGGGAGTTGTTGCTCTCCAGCGCGCTCGCTTGGGAAGGGCTGGAATTTGCATTTTAGCTCCGAGGAAGGAGATCTGCTGCCATCTGCACCTGGGCAGAGAAAGAGCCCCAGCTGGAGGCGGCAGGCATGGCTCTGCCTGCGGAACAAGGCTCGATTCTGCGCTGGATGAGCATCGAGTCCACAGATTCATCAGCAGGCAGAGGGATTTTAGTCACAGGATGGATTTGGATCACGTGCAGATGGATCTAGGCATGGCAAGCAATGGCCATAGACATGCAGAAAGGCTTTTTTTTTCTGTTTCCATAGTTTGGGCAGCAAGATTGCTGGGTTTTTAACCTGGCACCCATAGGAGCAGGTGTTAAGACGGCACAGCTCAGCTCGTTCTGCTGGGCAAAGAGAAACTTTGGGAAATGTGTCGGCCCCTTGTCACGGCGTGGGGCTGCTAAAAAAAAAGAAAAAGGAGGAAAAGAAATTGCAATGCTACTTCCTTATTGCAGGGCAAACACCCTGCGTTAGGTGCAGGATTTCCCCGAGAGCAAAGTCCAGGGCTGGGAGGGACACGGTAGGTGCTGGCAGGTGCAGTAGAAAATTGATTTTTCTAACGATGACTGCTGCTGTGATGCAGCCAACTGCTGCTCCAGGGACTGCATGTGTTCATTTGGGACAGCTCTGGCAGGAGCAAACCCTGGCACCCTTGGGAGCATTCTTACTGAAGCCCTGGTGGGTGACACTGCCCCAGACACCCCAGCATGTGGCATCCAGCTACTGGTGTAACTGGGAGTGGCTTTGTGCACAGTGCTGGAGATTGCTGCAGCACTCCAGTCCCGAGCACTCCAGCTTGGGTGGTGTGAGAGGGAAGGTGCTGTGCATCATACCTGACTTTTCTGCAGCACTATGTGATGTGCCACATCCAGAGCTCCCAGGAGAGGGAGAAGAGGTAGGTAAGAAGGAGCAGGGCCACATCTCCAACCATCTTGCTGCTGGAGCACTCAGAGATATGTGCCAGAAAACCAAAAACCCAGCTGTGCCCCAAGCACAGCAGTGCTCACCATCTAGATGTCGGCCAGCGTTGGGGCTGTGTCGTGTATCAGCAGAGCTCCAGTGCTCCTCAGGGGCTCAGGGCAAAAGCTGGGGCTGCTGTGTTAGGATTCCCCTCCCCATAATCTGTTTGATGTAGGATCTGTTGGGCAGACCAGGATGTGTGTGGCCCCAGCTTCTCTGGGTGGCACAGGGCACGAGGGTGCTCGGGCTGGGTTCCTTGCCCTGCGGTTCCCAGCTCAGTCACAGAAAAGCTGAGGACACTTAACTCCCTCCCCTGCCTTTTTATTTGCCATGAGTCATTCCCTAAGTAAGCAGCCAAGGGAAATGCCCGGCCGGGGGAGGCTTTGGCGTGGGCTCCAGCTCTGCTCGTGCTGAGCACCAGCGTGCTGCCAGCACCAGCTGCAGATGGAGCCGTCAGCAGCCTGCAAAAACCACCAGTGCTGTAATCAGCCGGTTCCTAGGGCAAACACGAATGAAAAGCTGATACAAAGCATGTAAGTGATACAGTCATAGCATCCAGCCTGGAAAAGACCTTCAAAATCATCAAGGCCGACCATCAGCCTGACCTATGGGGTCCCATCACTGAGCCTTGTCCCTTAGTGCTGTGTCTCTTAAATGCCACGTGGTCTTTGCTCCAACGTGCTCCCATCCAGAGCCACCTGCTCACATCTTCAGCTCCATCCCTGCCTTTTGGGAGGCTGAGCTGCCACCACAGCTCTGTTTTGTGAGGCTCAGGTGATCCCATTGATCTCCAGCTGCTGGAGATCTGGGGTGACCTCCCCGGCACCGCTGTCCTTATCAGCATAGAAGTGATAAGAGCTCCAGATGTGGCGTAGGAGTGCAGTGACTCACCCCCTTGCCATGTGCAGGCTGGGCCTGCTGTGCAAGCACAGGGCAGGGAGTCACCGGGACTGGCCCTTCCCCATCCCCGTGGTGCTCCCGGCGCCGTCCTGCTGGGTGTTGACATCAGATTTAGCTATTTCGGGGAGGAGACGGGAGCCACGCTGAACTCCGGTGCCTTTTCCTCCTACGGCTTGGAAAATCACGTAGGATCCTTCCTAGGCTCCCCCTGCCCTCTTCCCCTCTGTTTGCTTCCTGCTGCTCTGCTGAGTCAGAGCCGCCGATTTGGCTGGTGAGGAGGAAATTCCCCCTTCCGAGGGCAAGCTGGGGGTGCAGCTCCTGCTCACCAGAGCGGGGCGTTTTGCTTTGCTGGCCATTTCCCCACAGAGGTGCTCCGAGGTGCACGGCTGCTCCCTGCCTGGCTGCTCGCTCCCTGCTTGCCAGCATCCCAGCACCGGGCTCCCAAATTAAACCTTGCTGGGACCGTAATGAAGCACGAGCCCGGCTGGTAGGAAGAGGCCGTGAGACTTTTCCACGCCCATTTGCACAATAACTCATTATAAGCCTCCTGTCCTCACGACTCTGGATTTTAATTCTGTTTTAAAGTATTGTGAAATGCTTCATTTGACACAAACCATACAGGGGAGGAAAAAACAGGCAGCGGGCTTTCACCCCGCAACGTTACAATGGTTAACAGGATGTCCCTTCCAAATCTGTTTTGATGTAGAGGTTTTATTAGCTGAGGAAGTCTTTGGGGACTTTATCTTCGGGGATGCAAGCTTTGCACTTAATTGCTTTTGCTCCGAAGGGTTACACAGAGATACTTTCACTGGGCTGCCGATGACATTTCCCTCACAGTGTGGGGGACGCCTCGTCTCCGGCTGAAAGAAAAGCTCAGTTCTGCGCCCTGCCTTCATAAATGGGCCTTTCAGTGGGATGCCCTGCACAGGCAAGCCCACGGAGCAAAATCAAGTTCTTTAAGAGCCTCCCTTGAAGAGCAGCACTGGGATTTTCTTTTAAAATTTTTAGTATAACAAGGAAAAAAAATAATTAAAAAGTTGCATTGCCAGTGCCCATTTTGGCTGGTAGTGGGTTGTTTCGGAATGCCATGGTTTTGCCTAATTAATATTGACCTCCCTGCTCCATGTGGGTCATGGCAGCAAAGCCAAAGCCCCTAGCAATCCGCAGTGCCCACGAGTTAATTTACATTCATAATTACTGGCTAAAGTCTTTGTCTTGTCTCTCCTTCTCCAAGAAATGTTCTGACAAGGTGCCTCCATTTTCAGGGGCTGGAATCAGGGGATGTGAACCTTGCTGTATGAAGGTTCATGAAGAAGAAGCCTCACTTCAAAAAAGATTTAGGGCTGGGATTCCAAACAAAAACCACATTTTTTCCAGCATGAAGCACTCCGGTAGGAGTTCTGCTGGCGCTGACCGAGCACAAAACCCTCTTGGGTGTGAAGGGACATTTGGGGTGACCTTCTCCCACAGGTGACAGCACTGGGCTCTGCTCAACCTCTCCTTGAGCCACTGCCTGGCTGAACTCCGCCGTGAGGACAGGAGGAAGGAGCTGCTGGCTGCTGAGGGCGGGTTGTGTGGCTCGGGGATGTTTTGTGGGGCCACCAGCAGATGTCAGGACGTGTGGCTGGAGCTCCTCCAGCTGCTGGCCACTTTCATGCCTCCACGGAGGCGTAGAGCAGGGATTCACTTGGGGTGAAGCCCTTTTTGTGCATGGGAAAGAACAAGCTTCACTAATAGAGGGCGTAATTAAACAGCGGGTAATTGACATTTTCATTTCCTGTACCCTGCCCCGGGAGGATAATGACAGGTTGGGCCGTATCAAAATGTTCCTGAATACCTTTGGTGACACAACATGAGATGGTAGCTGCAAAAATTTCTAGAAAATTGTGGGATCAGCAGCAATCCTTGGCTCGGCGCTTTGGGTCTTGTCCTGGCTTTTGGAGGTGCTCACGAGCAGTCTTGGCAGCAGCCAGTTCCCATGCCGTCCCCGTTGCCATCTGGAGATGCCAGGAAACCTCTGCTCCTCTCCATGCTTAGGTGAGCGATCCCCTTCGCAGAACGCCTCCTTTGGTGGAGAACTGCTCGGAAGGAGGAGTAGGGGCGAGGCAGGCAGCTCGCTTTCCACGGGCAAGGCAGAAGATAAAAATAGGCCCAGCTCTTCCACCAGCCATCTGGTGATGAGACAGGGCTGCCTGTAGCACAAGCGGTCAGCGAGGCAGCTATTATTTATAAAGCACCGTGGATGAGCATCACGCTTCACGAGGGCTGAATCTATTATGGAAAATGGAATTCATTCCCTAAAGAAATCCTATTTTTTTTTATTATTATAACCTCCTGGCCAGCAGGTGGAAAGCAGCAGCCCACGGCGAGCAGAATGAATGCGGCCACTTCAGCCTCCTCCAAGCTCCCGTGCCGTGTCCATCACCGTGGTGCTCATCACTGGAAGATAACGAAGCTCTCCTACCACCACAGGCTAACGGATTGGGGTTTTCTACTCTGCTCCTCCGTCCTTCCATCGTATTATTCCAGCTCAGCAAGAAGCAGAAGAACAGTTTATAATTCAGGAGAAGGGCTGGGATGTTTCCCCTCTTGTGGGAAAAATAAACACGAGTGTTGGCTCTGGTTTCCTACCAACTCCTACTCGCTCCGAGCCTGGTGCGTCGGGAATCAGAGTGCAAGTTAATAATAAATAAGGGCACAAACGCTGCAATAAGAACTTAAAGCTGGTTTCAGTCCAAACTGCTGAGCTCGCTACAGCATAGGCAGCGCTGGGGCTCATTGCTGCAGGGGTGGCAGCATGGGTTAGAGCAAAGGATGGGCCTCTTTTGGAGGGGGAATGGCATTTGTAACGGGGTGCTGGTGATGTGTGAACACCATATGGGGTTGGTGTGAGTTGCCCAAGGTTCAGAGACCCCATACTCAGTGGCAATGTGCCTGGAGAGCAGGGTGCCAGCCCCAGACGCCTTTCCCACCTCTGCAGCCCAGCTCAGCAGTGCTGTTGCACCCTCAGCCCCTCCAGCCCTGCTGGCAGCATCCTTGCTGCTGTGTGGAGCCAAGCAGCCACTCTTTGTATGCCCGAATCCCAGGAGACCTCATTAGGAAGCAGGCACAGCAAATGGTTGCTTCTATTGGGATGTCCAAAACTCAACCCATGGGGGAAGGACACCCAAAATGTGGTGGGACATGCTCACAGCTGCGTTTCCACCTCCCTCTTGGTGTCTCCCCTTCCCCGGCGTCCCAGCCTAAACGGGTCTCTGGGCTGGTGAGGGACAAACAGGCCAAATTATCTGTGAAAAATCTATGGAAATAATATTCCTGAGAGCTGGCCCATTTGCATGTGTAATGGCCAGGGTGCTTTCCCTGGCTTCTGCCGCGGCAGATGCCGGAATGGCCACAAGGCACGTCTGCTCTAAGCAAGGCTGGAAAGGGCTGGGTGGAGCAGGGAGGGGGACAGCGATTACGTGCACAGGGCCATTACACATGTAAACACGACCTTAAAAATAGAGCCGGCTGGGTGCTGCCAAGCCTTTCCCTGACCACCCGTCGGAATTAAGGAGAGCCGTGGGTTTGGCTGCAGTCCCTGCCCTTCTCTTCGCTGCTCCTGCGATAGCCAGAAAATGCCTGTATAAAATGGGCAATACGCTGGTGTGTGCCAGCATTTGCATCAGAAAGTTTTGCTCCGTACGGGGTGGGACAGCACAGCAGCAGGAGAGGATTCCTGGAAGCTCTCACCACGGATTTGCATCTCTCCCTCCCCGTGGCAGGAGCTGCCGGGATGCGAACTGCAGCGAGTGGAGAGCACCGAGAGGAGAGGAGCTGGAGCCAAGGATGCTGATGCTGAGAGGCTGAAATTGCTCCTGGAAACTGCAGAAAGGGTGAAGAGAAGAGCCACAGGAATGATATGAGGACTTGGAAAAAAGTCATTATCCATGAGTAGTTCAATCAGTTTGGCTTATGATAAGAAGAGAGATTGAGAGATGATGTGATTAGGGTATAAGGTTAATTCAATAGGGAGAAAGCAGCGCATACTGAACAGGCTGTATAACCAATACTGCCTCCTTGTTTCCTCACATTTTCCCACCCATCTCTCATATACGACCATAGCAGGAAGGAACAGGACGCAGAGCTGGGGTGAAATTTTTCCTCAATGCCAAGAGTAAGGAGGAGACTTCATTTTCACACTCCGAGATTTGGATCGAGGTGGGACTGGTGCAGACAGGCCAGACTTTCCCCCACCTGCCTCTTCTCTCACCTTCCAAGTGGGGAAGCCCTGGCCCGAATGTGAGGGGGGTTTCCCCAGGGCTCAAGGGGGATGCGAGCATCTTGGCACGTGTCAGGTCTCCTCCAGATTTCCAGATCTCTTCCAGATTTCCAAACAAACCAGACTCGTGCTGTCTGGTCAGGGGTGCTGGTGGGAAGCGAGGAGTGGTTAATGGGATTGTGCTCAGCCTCCTGGAAACCTCGAGGGGTGCGGAAAAGTAATATCATCTGGTCCTGGGAACTAACCTGCTTTGAAGGGAATTAAAGAAGCAGAAGGAAAAAGCAATATAATCTTCAGCTGCCACCTCTGTCCCTTGTTGCTACCTGAGGGATTAAGCCATTAAAACCTAATGTGCAAGAAATATTTCAGCTCCCGCCTGGACCTAAATGTTTTTTGTGCAAGCGGTGGCAAGACACAAACCAAACCCATCCCCTCCGCGCTCACACACACATGAAAGAGAAGCAGCGTGGCCCTGGCGGGGGATTTAACCTACAAGGTGCTTCTGCTCTCAGAAGCTGGGAATAAAGCACGGAGATTGATAAAGCAGATACGGGGTCGGGCTCGATGGGACCGCCGAGGGAGGGCGGTTTCTATGGCGATGGAGAAGAGCCGTGATGGGAGGCATCGCGCGTGGGCGGCAGCGAGAGGCAGCTCCACGCCCTGCAGAAGTGGGTAGTTGCTTTGGAGACAGGTGCAGGGGCTGAAAAAAGCACCTCGGGGGGAAGGAGAGGGAGAGGGGGGCTTGGTGGGGCCCAGCTGCGCTGGACGTGTCACTTGGAAAGTCTGAACGGGGGAGAAGCTGGTGGGCAGGGACACCTCCCACCAGCCCAGGTTGCCCAAAACCCCATCCAGCCTGGCCTTGAGCACCTCCAGGGATGGGGCATCCAAAAGCACTCCCCTGGAGACCTGAAGACCTCTGAAGAGATCCTGTCGTGTTTTTGCTCCTTGTATGGGTTGTGGCTGAAGGAGTCAAGGGCTTTGCCAGGTCCAGAGCCATCAGAGACAGCTGAACTACCACGTGCAGACACTCACAGTTATGGTTCCTCTACCAACACATGGTGCTTTTTGGGCTGTGCAGCCCCAAGGATGTGCTGAAGGCAGCGTGGAGGCAGCTCACTGCCCATTCCCAGGCAACCAAGAGCCTCCATCCATCATCAGCGGCGGTGCTGACACCGATCTGTAGCTTCCCCTGCCTTCACATTAGTGTCATCCTGCATGCTACGGCCATTAGGGCTGTTGCATTAGTGATGGATGAGCAACCTTAGATCCTCCTCCTGAATCACGGGGCTGGACAGTGGGACTGAAGCTAAAGGATTGCTAATTAGCAAAATGGGACCAAAGGGAGAGTCCCTCCTCCATCCGTCCTGGGACAGGGCGCTGTGTTTATATTCACGAGCCTATGAATAGCGTGACTTTAACGAGCTGAAAAGGGTTTTAAAAAATAATGAAATTATAAAAAATTACATCTACAAATGCGAGGTTTACTGTGCTCATGGCAATGCTGTTCATACCCTGGGAAAGATAATCTGACTTACTCTGCAGAGAGAGTCCTGGAAAGGCACTTGCTTGATTGGAAAATGAAGATTTATAAAGATCCCTGATTTAACCAGTTTAAAGACCTGAGCAAAGTCACTGTGCAATACCTTGTGCACGCAACGTTATGCTCCCTTTTTTTCCCGAATCACATCCTTTTGCTGCCTGACAGGGCTGAGGCCGTGTGCTTGCCCCCTCCCAGAGCAGGGCATGGATTTCCACGCACCCTAACGTCCTGCCTCGTGGGTCAAGAAATAAAACTGGAAATAATACAAGAAATAAAAGCTTTCCAAACAAAGATAACTCAGACAAAACACTTTGAAAATAACTCCTTTTCCATCATTTCAGCCTCATTTGCTTTACTTTGGAGCCAGTTTCTTGGCTAGCTGCCTCCAGGATTTGTTGTTGGCTTATCCCTGGAAAGCTGCTATCACTTATTTTTTCTCTCTCAGCTATACTGGGAAAGAAAAGGATTTTAAAAGCAGGTAAGCCCTCTGTTTTGAGGGTTTTCTTTGAAGTCTTTCAAGCACACGTTATATATGAGCCCTTTCTGCAGCAAATTGTGTCTCAGGGAGCTGAAATCAAATAACCTGAGTGTGATATGATCCAGGTGAATTTGTTGCAATGTTTACAAGGCAACCCTTTTCCAGGAAAAAAAAGAAAAAGAGAAAGGAAAAGGAAAAGGAAAAGGAAAAGAAAAAGAAAAGAAAAGAAAAGAAAAGAAAAAGAAAAAGAAAAAGAAAAAGAAAAGAAAAGAAAAAGAAAAAGAAAAGAAAAGAAAAGAAAGAAAAGAAAAAGAAAAAGAAAAAGAAAAGAAAAAGAAAAAGAAAAAGAAAAGAAAAAGAAAAGAAAAAGAAAAAGAAAAAGAAAAAGAAAAAAAGAAGAAAAAGAAAAAGAAAAGAAAATTAAAAAAGAAGCTTTCTGGGAAAACAAAACTGAAATCATATTGCTCATGATCTTTAAAAAAAAAGGTTTTGAGCAAGAAAAAATATTTAAGCAAAAAGTCTTGGAGCAAAATGTACCCTAACACACTGCACCAGGGCTGCGACCAACCCTGTGCTCCCCTCCTGCTGTTCCTCGAAAACCTCCCAGCCCATACTGGTGTGAATCTGTCCCGCTCAGTTCTTGACATTTAGCTCGGCCACAGCCGGCGGTGATTCATAGAAAGCTCCTTGTTCCGGCCCTGTGACGAGTGTCCATGTTCCAGGGCCTTTTTTCCACGCTGCAGTCTTCTAAAAAATGCATGTGCAGGCAGATTGTGCTGCAAATCCTATGGCAACCGGCTGCACCACGGAGGGCTGGCTGAATTACAATGCTGCAGGGCTTGAGAAACGCTACGCCGAAATGGAGAAAACTTTCTAGAAATATTAATATTCAGCACCCACTATCGAGAGATCATAGCAACCCAGCCAGATCTGACTGCTTCGAATTATTATTCATGTACCATGGAATATGTATTTTTTTTTTTTTAAGGAGCATTGTAAATTAACGCTAGCAAAACGCAATTTGTAATTTAAATGTAAATCAGAATTGACTAAGAATATAATTAGGCTTCGAATGCCTAGGTAGTGTCTGCTAACCAGACTGTTTTGCGGCGTGTGTTTTTTTTTTTTTTTACAAAGATTTTAAAGCGCATTATTTACCTTGAATACTTCAATGCCTATTATCTGCATCTGTGCGCTATAAAAATGTAAATAATAATAAAAGCTTGGGGTGTGTGCTGCTGAATTCTGGATTGATTCTGCAAAACTGAAGGGTGTTTCACGCAGAGGGTTAGACAGCTTGTGTGAGACTGCTGAGACACTGGGAAGAAATAAAGTCCCCCCAGAAAGCTGGTGCTTTTGCTACCTGTGCTTTCCACTGCGATGCAAGTGGGAGCCACGACATGGATCAAATATAACGAAGTCACATAGCTTTAAGTGGTGGTGGATGCTTGTGTTTGCTTCACGGTAAGATAACTCCAAGTATAAATATAATAAATCTATCAGCATATCTTCATAGCGAGTGGTCGGGCTGCCTCGCAGCCTTCCCATCACTCGCCCAGCCACTGCTGCCCCTTCCTCACCGGTATTTCCCCACAGACACACATGGGGCTGAAGCTCTTAGCAAAAGGATTGAGCTCCCCAAACCAAGCCCACCATGAAGCTGCACCACTGGGGAGAGCCAGCTGCGAAACGTCATTCTGAGTTTGGCGTAACAGAAGTCTTTTCCTGTGGAAATGGGGAGTTTGTAGCAGGAAGCAATTGGCCTAACTGTGCTCTTGAGAAATTTCAGATATTAAATTCAAGATATTCCTGAGAGATTTAAGATACTACATTTAAAACAGAGAGGTGGCGCTGAGCAACGTGAAATAAGTCAGTTCAGGAAGACCTGGACACCTCCATTTTAAAAAGCAGTCGAGATTTACAAATAGCTCTTTTGGTCTGCACGCTGGGGGCAGATATCAAATACGAGGACATTGAAAGGGGCTGCAACCCTGGGCAATGGCAGCAGGTTACTCACTTCTCAGTACTTAACGTACAGATTCCTCCTTGCTCCTTGGTTGAAAACGAAGCACGGGGGTGTTTTGGGAGGAGAGGGGCACAGTGGGCCCTGTGCTCCAGCACCAGCCCCGCAGCGATGGATGGCGTTGCCTCCAGGTGTGCAGTGTGACTGCAGTCTGAGGGTGCCATTAAATCCAGATCCAAGAGACAACAAATGAGTGCCTGAAACACCAGGAAAGGCTGTTTTTGAAGCACCAGAACTGTAAAATGCTGCTTTTGTGTCTCAGATGACTTTAACATACCAAGGCATCTGGAGCCCAAAGCCTTCTGTCAGACACGTGGCTCCAGCTCCTCTGAAAAGCAGGACTGAAATTATTACTGACAGCTGAAATTAAGATTTTAATAATTACCCGAGCTCCTCTTTGCATAGGCCCAGCAGGAAAACATCCTACGGTGTGTGGTGTGTCAGCCACTTCTCTCAAAGTAAATGAAAGCTGAGGCTTTGCAGCACTGGGAAGGTGTTCAGCAACTTTCAGCACGCTGGGGACAAATGTATTTTCTTCATATAAAAAGTGGATATAATTCCAGTTGGACGCTTGCCCTTTTATGAAAGTGAGGACATATATACCTCAGCAGCATGCAGAGTGCAAATGGCATCAGAAACTGCTCAAGTGTAACAGAGAGAAAACAGAAAGGGAGCAAAATGTTTTGAGAGGATGCTGTTGAATGCTTCTCGTCATCTGCTTGTCTCGTCTCCCCCTCTAGAGTTGGATGCAGTGGCTGGAAGGCCAGCTAGGGTTTGAGCTAGAGATCTGGGGTTGGGAACCTCAAATTTCACTCTCTGAAGCTGCTTCAAGGAAACCTTTGTTTGGACTGACCTGGGATTTCCTGAAACCTTCCCCTAAGCAAAAAATCCCTAAAATCATCCTTCCCCTAAAATCACCCTGGGTGATTTTTCAGACTCACTGTACCAAAGTTATGTTGGCTGGGGCTCTCTGGTCCAACTTGCAGCTCAAAGTGGACGTGCCACAAGGGGCAGAGCAAGGCAGCCACTGCTTTCCTTAGCTCCGTTTGGAAACCTCCAGGAAGGAGGGCCTCCAAGGACAGAGACCTGTCCCTGCCTAAAAACCCACCCCAGCTCTGCGCTACCCTCCTGGTGAAAGAGGTTTCTCTCTGGGATGAAGGTCTGCTGGTGGGCGTTGGGACCACTTCCCCTGTTAGAGAGCAGGAGGAGGAGTCCTTCCACCAAAATCAATCAGCTGTGGCCATTGATCACCTCGTCACGTACACATTGCCCTCATCAGATCTCCTGCTTGTTTATTAATCCTTCTCCCACGGGTTTCAACCCATTTAATTTCTAAGGGGGTTGTGACTTTGTGATCTTGGCAGCACAGAGAAGCTGCCGATCAGCGACGTTTCCCTTGACAACGTGGGAGCGTAGGTGAGTCCTCATCCAAGTCGTAGGGGGCACTGGAGAAGGGGCAGCACACTGGAAGCCTGATGCTTGTTTCACTGAAAATTTGCAAGACATTTATGTATCTAAGTCTGTAAATCAGGTATTTGAATACCCAAAATGTTATTGTTTATATGGTGAAATTGCTTATATGCAAATTCTGAATAACTCACTGCCGTAACAATCTCATCAGCTTATCTTAAAACTAGTACTTAATTCAGGCCTACGCACATTCAAATACTTCGCTTTTCTGCTGAAGCTGCCTTCTGCCTTTTGCTGCCAGGAGTCCTCCACCAGCCCTGCCTTTCACTGCTCACTGCAGGCTACTTCTGCTTTTCTGTAGCTTCCAGAAACGCAGTGATGGGGATGCACTGCCTGCACCAGTAACTCTGTGATGTTCTCTGATAACCAGGGCACATCCAGCTCAGACGCTGAGATCAGGTACAAAGCTTCAAGCCATCAGCTATCAGGGCAAGAGCAAAGAGAGGAGAGATCTTGGGAGAACTTTGATGGCTTTTCCATCTAATACCTGCTCTTATTTCCTTAGCTGGTGCTTGGTTATCTTCTCTCCTCCCGTTTCAATATTAAGGACCTGAAGGAGGCAGGCAAGGGGCAGAAATAACTTTTTTTTTTTTTTTTCACTTCCATTAAATTTGTGGTGAGAACTTTCCTCCTCCATCAAAGACTGTCACATTGTGCGTAGGCAAAAGGTTGGGGGATCTGGCTGTGCTGGGGCTTGTTTTATATACACCAGAAGCTGTCAGGTCAAAATACAACTTCTTAAACTTCCTGAACCATAAATATATATCTCCAACAGTTAAGGCTAGAGGTTTCATAGTGAGGTGTTTAGGACTCTTCCCACTAACACAAAACCCTGCTGCACAGGTCCTAGAATGAAACCTATTTGTATCACAGCCCTTCAGTGTGGGGAGCAAGAGGATGAGTTTTAAGATAGAGCTGTAAAAATACATGAACAAATGGTCGTTTTCAACAGAACTGATATAAGGAGCCCAGAGGTCTTTTTAAAATCTTATGTCCTGTCTTCCAGGAGAAATATTATAATCAGAAAGGCTTTAAAAGTGAATAGGGTTAATTCCCAATTGGGGAAACAGGACTTTTATACAGTAATATCTCAGGAAAAAAATGTAGAAATGTTGTCATTTGGGACATTTAAAACTGGATGGGGTAGTACCACTAAAACACAAGAACCCATCGCAGGAAGGGAGAGAGTCAGCATTCTGCCAGACAGCCTTTTTGTCCCCAATTTCTATTATGTCTGTGTTTTTCCTAATGGCTTATTTATTTGTGCACAGTGACTCCTCCTGAGATAAACAGAAAGGATTAATCTCGACAAAGCGACTCTCTGAGAGGCTGGGAACCACAGAGGAGGAAGAGGGGAGTAATACAATTATTTTTGTGCTTTATGAATAATTTGTAGCCGGAATAAGTAAAATTACACACAGCAAGCAGCACTCGCAGTACATTTTCCTCTCTGCCCCCGAGGGAGTTAAACTGTAAATGCAGTGAAAAAAAGCAGTAAGAGTAAAATTAGTTTATAGAGAGTTGTATCTCGAAGAACAATATGCTCCTGTGTGTCTGCCCCTTCTCACGGGATATGGCCCATCGACTGGAGATCGCAGATGTCCTCCTGTTGGTATTTGTGGTTTGCAGCACGCCGAAAATGGGAATATTTCAGATTTGTTAGCTGGTTTTACCGTGAGTAGTATTTTCCTTGTTGGAAACAGCCTGCCTGAACGATCCAGCCTTCTCAAGTTTGTGCACCACCTGGTGCAGAAATGCAGGAAGAAAGAAAGAAAAAAAGCTGAATGGATGTGAAAAGTTTATGAATATGCAGAGCTTTGGCACAGAAAATCATCTTCCTTCCAGCAGAGCATTTTCCATCTCTTTATTAGTGTGGGAGCTTCCAAGGCCTCGTCTGTAAGGAGCTGCTCCTTTCTGCTTTCCACGGGATCATGCAGGAGGGTTGGGGTGTGCAGGGATCTCCAGAGACCCCCGGCCCAGCCCCTGCTCCAGCAGGGCCACCCAGAGCAGGGTGCCCAGCACCACGGCCAGGCGGTGCTGAAGGTCCCCAAGGAGGACACCCCACCGCCTCGCTGGGCAGCCTGGGCCAGGGCCCCAGCACCCCCATGTTAATATAGTGCTTTGTGATGTTTGGACGGAGCCTCTTGGGTTCCAGTTTGTGCCCACAGCCTCTTGTCCTGGCACTGGGCAGAGCCTGGCCCTGTCCTCCCAGCACTGGCAGGCCCTGGTGGGATCCCCCTGGGCCTCCTCTCCTCCAGGCAGAGCAGCCCCAGCTCTCAGCCCTCCTCACAGGAGAGGTGCTCCAGCCTCTTCACCATCTTCCTAGCCCTTCACTGGACTCCCTTGACTATGTCCAGGTCTCCCCTGTACCAGGGAGCCCAGGACTGGGCACAGCACTGCGGGATGGGCCTCACATTGTGGCCTGTGCCAGGGAGCAGGTTTCCTAGCAGGCAGCGATGCCCAGCTGCAGCTGGTGCAGGTGAAAGCTGGGGACTGTCGGGTTTGTCAGAAATACACCTTCAGACACTATTTGTGTGGGTTTGGAGGTCCCCAGAACCTAACCTGCTGTTTTACTGAAATGTTTCCACCAGACTTGCCAGGGATGCAGACACAGGGCAGGAGGGCACAGCGTTACGTGAGAGAGCTTTTGCATTTGGGTGGACACATCCTTCTGGCAAGGGAAAACCATCCAGAGGAGAAATCATTCACTGTTCCACCAGATTACTCATCTCAGGTTCAGTTTTTAAGTGCTAAACATAGACTTAATGCAGCGGAAGACACAAACTGGGTTCTTCTGCAACCTGAGAAGAGGGAGAAGATACGGCACAAGGCCCTTCAGAAGAATCATGGCAGATGAAAGTGCAATTCATACAAGTGGTGCACATGAAGATCACGTGGAAGAAATGATTCTCAGAAAGACATGAGTGAAGGCAGAGATGCTCACAGCTCTCTGAAGAAGGTGCGCCCTATTGCCCTTGGTATGCAGTAATGTGGAGGCTCTTAGCATGATTTAAATAAGAGTGGGCTCACATCATATTGGCACTGTATAACCAAGGTCAAAGGCATCACAATTTGGCTGAGATAAAATATTCAGTTGTGTCTCTGTGACAGCTCGATGAGATACCAGATATATAATAGCTTGAAAGGAGACAATTCACATTTACTACAGCAGTCATAAATAAATTACTAACCAACAAATATTTATAATATTAAAATATTTCACGATGCATAAACAACAACTCACAAGTAGTATAAATCATATTTCACAACGATTACAAGTGAGTTAATCCTTCATACTCAAGGAGTGATTTTTTTTTTTTCATGCAATGAGTGAAAGAGCTGTTAGAGAAAAGGGTAGGTGGTTTGTGCCAGGACACCATTGGGTTGTTTCTGCTTCAGCTCTGAAAATTTTTAGAAGAGTAGAAGGTGAAATTGTTCAGAGGAATCGTTTTGCCCCAAGGATGCTGTACTGGGGCAGGTGGCCGCAGGACGAGGTAGCACGTGCTCACCCTGAGCCCTGCTGCAATTTTTGTCTATTTTCTTCTGGGGCCATCGCTTGTGAGGCCACGTGGGCAGCTGGATGGAGAAACTGGTTCAGCTGAAAGTTGAAACTAACTGGTTTTGGCTAAAAGTTGCTGTGGTTTTGGCAGCTGTGGCCATTGTTGTTGCAAAGCCAAGAAACTAATGGAAATACTAAATTCCAAATTATGCTCGTTCTTAGAAGTTTGCATAGGGATATCTGATAACTTTGCAGCAAGTCTTTAGGGTCTTGAGAAAGGTATTTAAAGGGAACATAACACTGAGATGGAGAAGGAACTGCGTTTAGAAATACACACCAGTCAGGCTCCCTAGGGATGTTCGTTGTCTCTTTTTCCTCTCCAATTGCACAATATCACATAATACATAATCCCATAGTACATGCAGCCTGCAATAATATACATTAATAATCAGCAGCACTTATGGTGTTAGACATCTTCAAAGCTGTCTACAAACCTTAGCTAATTAATCCGTCTCAAGACCCCTTGGCTAAGCATAATTATGCTGGAGAAGCTGAAAGGTTAAAGGAGTTACTGCAGGATGGGGATAACAGAGGGCTGAGAGCTCTGACCCCATGCTTTTCCTTCTCCTTACACACCATGGGCTATCATACATCAGTAAAACCAACAAAAAGTTAAGCAAAATATAAAGTTTTTCATGTGGCCCTTTGGAGTGACCTGTTGTTGCTCATCATGTTGTTCCCTGGGAGCAAGTTAGAGACCCTAAAGTGACAACAAAACTATTCCCCTGCTCAGCACCACTGCTAATATTGCACATGTGAACCACAACATGAAACTTCAGCAGTTGAATCCCACCCAAAGCCTGGAGTCCTGCTTTGGATTAGGTGTTCGGCTTTGCACCTGGTCTTAGGGAAGGTCTGAGCCCATTTCCAAAGCTGGCCAAAGCAGCTCTTTCTCTCTTTCTGGAAGCACCTCCATGTGTCTACAGATATTTGTCAATTGTGTTTGATGAAAAACACCTGCTTGATGCTTTTTAGCCAAAACTTTCCTGTTCGTGCAGATAGACAAATTCAAGATCGTATTTTATACCATCTGCACGTCTGCTTTGCTGAATTCCTTGCTCTGGAAGGAAAGGATACAAGATTTAATATCACAATTTGAAGGGAAGGCTTGGAGTTTCCAGTCTGAGTGATTTTATCTAAACTTTCTCTTCATACTTATGTTTTTTTTGTGTGTGTATGTGTGATTTTGTGATTTTTTTTTTTTTTTTAAATAAATACTACAGAGCTGTTGTGTGCCGACATTTGTCACTGCTCAGGATGTATCTGAGCAGGACTTTTCAGACTTGCCAGGAGCAGAACTGCAGATCTGAGCCAGGGAGCTCAGCACCACTGAGCAGATCCACGTGCAGCATCTCCAGTGCCAGTGCCCCTGCATCATCCAGCGGTCAGATTTTCAAGGGTGTTTCATCAGTGGGAGCAAAGGGTGCTCAGTTCCTTCAGACGGTAAGCAAAAATGTGTGCAACAAAGGCATAATTAACAGATGAGTCATTCATTCTCATTTTTCTGTGGCAACATTGGTGCTGCTCAGTCTGGGGGTAGAAGGTAGTTATAACCAACTGCTAACGATGCAAAATCCATCCATCACGGTCACCTCCTTCCCTCGGGGAAGCAGCAAGGGAAGGAGGGCGAGGAAGCTGGAACAGATAAGCACTGTAAGACACCCCCCAGTTGAGCAAAACACCGAAATACAGGCGCTGCAGTCATGCTGACTTCAGCAAGCCCTGCTCACGTGGAGAAAAAAAAAATAGAGCAAGGCCTTGCACACTTAGCATCAGCAAAATGCCGGTTTATTAAGATAACCAGGCCTAAGGGAAAAAATAAACAAAGTTCTTTAACTTGTTACTTGCATAATCCCCCATGCCTTTTGGTTCTGCCTGTGGTCTCGCACCCGGCTGGCGGTGCCGTAACTCCGGGGATTTAACGGCGCTGGTCGAGGGACTGGGGCCGAGCCCACCGACTGAGCTCTGCTCCAAAAGCACAGCATAAGGTTTTATAATCAGCTTTTTATTAATTCCTGCTCCGAGGTGCCTGGTTTCAAATAAGAATGCTTCTTGTTTTCTAGCCCACATACCGAGTATCTGATGGATGATCAGTATTTTTCTTGACTATGGCAGATCGAATCTCTCCCTGGTGACACTTTGCTCCTGCCAGCAGATTAATCCCAGGAATTAGTTTAATCTATTACCTTTGGTTTCATTTTCCCTGAAATGTTTGTAAAAGAAGATAAATAAGGACAAAGCAATGCGGAGATAAAGCCAACACACAAGCCAGACTAAAAATAACCTGGCAAGCTGTTCTCACTGGACAGTATAAATATTCCTTTCAGGTTAAAAATATTTCTTTGAGGATGCAGAACCCTTAAAAATATAATAGGTCTTGGACAATGACACTTCCTCCCAGCCGGCCCAGGAGCGTGTTTTTGCCGGTAAAGGATATGCTCTGCTCTGCAGAGGAAACCGGTGCTGGCCGGCCTCACCATGGAAACTCCAGTCCTGGCTAAAAAAAGACCAATTTATCTACCGACAAATATCCTTACTTTTGGAATAACAGCAATAACAACAACAAAGAGCGGCGGGTGTTAACGTTGTCAGTGTTCGGGGACTTGTTTTGTCCCGCTGCCCCTGCCAGAGCACCCGGGCACCGCGGGTGACCGAGCGCTGCGCGATGACGACTGCACACCCACCCCAAAAAGAGCACAGAGGAGGGAAGGGTCAGTCACAGCAATCAGCAAGCTGGTGATAAAAGAGCAGCCAGAAATATCACGTCGTCTTTCCTGTGTCATCCCAACCGCCACAGCGAACCAGAGGTGATTTTACACAGGCTTTGTCCTCTCTGGAGGCAGGGTGCTTTTACATCAGTCCCTGGCTACGATTTGACTTCCCCGCTGTGTTAGATGCTGGCACGTCTGTGCGTGAGCCAAGGAGAGGAGCTGCATGGGCTGGGGGTCTCCAGCACCCGCAAGGCCAGCACGGGCAGCGTTTAGGAAGAGGGAGAGCTGTGGCTTCCCATTAACCAGAAGGGTGCATCACTGCTCTCATTGCTATTTTTTCAGAAAATACAGAAGGATTTTTTTTCTCAGTAAATAAATAAATAAAGAAAATAAAAATAATTAAAACAAATAAAAATAAATAAATAAACCACGCAGAGCAAATAATTTGGAAGTGTTCAGGAGTGTTGGAAATCATGTGGAAAGTGCTTTGGGCTAATTTCGTGAACCACAACAGAGCCGTAGCGGGGAGGAACACACTTTCATCTTATTTATTTCTCTCTGCCTTTAGCTGCCGGGTTTGTTAGTGCAAGCTTCTCCTTGTGATCTGCTCTGCACAGCCTGGCCCTGCTGGCTGTGTGGTGTCTGTCCCATGAGCACAGGCACAAACCCTCCCCACTGCTTGGGCCAGGGCCCCGGCACCCACACAGCACAGGAGGGCTCCTGGTGTTCAGATGAAACCTTCTCTGCTCCAGTTTGTGCCCACAGCCTCTTGTCCTGGCACTGGGCAGCACTGGGCAGAGCCTGGCCCTGTCCTCCCAGCGCTGGCAGGCCCTGGTGGGATCCCCCTGGGCCTCCTCTCCTCCAGGCGGAGCAGCCCCAGCTCTCAGCCCCTCCTCACAGGAGACTTTCTCCAGTCTCTTGGTCCTTGTGGATCCCTTCCGACTCAGGATACTCAGTTCTGTTCAAAATTTAGTTTTTTTCTGGTCATCTTTGGTAGTTCCTGGTACCTCCAGCAAGCAGCAGCCACGCTTAACCCAGCTGCACCTCCCGCACGGCCGAGCACCTCCAGAGGGAGCATTCGCCCTGCGTTAGAGCAGCCACCTCCATCAGGTCTCCTTTCAGCTCCATTTTCTCCTCCGTTCAGCTTCAGGTGGTTAAAAACCAGCGACACGAGCCCTGCCTCAGCCTCCAAGTACCAGCACTGTGATACACCTGACTGCACGTGTCCCTCATACCAGTGACCTGCTGCTAATTCCTGATGATATTTTACCTTTCTAATGCCATCAGACATGACCCCCACTTCCCACTCCAGGTTGAATTGCATTCCTGTTTTTGTACTTTATAGGAAAAGCTATTTGTTACGTGTAATTTTACAGTTTGGTCTTCACTGAAATGTTGCTGGCTTTGTCTCTGCATTTCTGTACATTTATCTGAGTGAGGGGCAAAGGGGAACAAAGACAAAACCCAGCCTGAGTTCTTCTGTAGCCTGAGCCACGTAAGGCTGGACTTCTGCAGTTCTTGTTTCAGTAAAATAGCTTTAACTAATGTAATGGTGGGAGCACTCACCTCCGAAAGAGGAGAAAGGTTGGACATTATATAGGATATTATATTGGATTACAAAAGTTATCCAATGTTTTATAGGATAACAAAAGTTATATAGGAAAACGTAAGATGTCATCTTTAATTTTCCAAAGATTGGGATCCAACAGGAAAAAAAAAATAACACCACCAATAATAATAATAAATATACAAAATAGAAACCAAGCT